GCAGAACAGAAGCTAAGACACAGTCTTGCTTCATACCAGAGACAACTGCGAAGTCATCCGAGGTCTCCCCACTCAGCTGCATCCTCGCCCGCATACCACTGTACAGACATCCAATTAAACTTACAAAATTATGCGGGCAACCAAACTTTCCCAGCACCAGCCACAATATCTCGCGGTCCACCATGTCAAATGCCTTGATGAACTCAACAAAAGCGTGTACAACAACTGGTGTCGTTCTCTACAATTCGTTTGCAATTGACGAGCCGCAAATACCACATCAGTAGTGCTGTGACCCGAACGGAATCCGCTCTGCTCTTCCGCCACTTTCGATTCCACAACCCGAATGACGAGGCGGTTGAGCAGGATTCGGGAAATCACCTGACCCACACAACTCAGCAAGTTTATACCACGGTAATTCGTGCAATATTGCTTGCTCCCCTTGCCCTTGTACAGTGGTAGCACAAGGGCATCCTTCAGCTCAGCAGGCACACCCTCCTCAAACCACACGAATTACGCCAAGTGGTGCAGTGCAGTTGTCAACGCGGTTCCGCCGTATTTCAATACTTCAGGCGGTATCCCGTCGGCCCCCGCACACTTGCCGTTTCGCAGCTGAGCAACTGCTCTCTGCATCTCATCCAGCGTCGGCGTGTCCGCCAGACTTGCCTTCACATCCTGCTGCCTGAGGCCGTTCAATGTAGGCCATTCGGTCTCTGAACGGTTGTTCAAGAGGCAGACAAAGTGTTTTCGCCATATTTGTATTATATATGCGGTTTGTGTGCAGGTAGCGCCTGAGCTACCATCGATCAGCGTCTTCTGCGGCTCCAATCTCGATCCATACACCGCCTTCAAAGAGTCAAAGAATTCCTTGTGTTGGCGACGTTCGGCGTAGCATTCCATCAGCTTCACCTTCTCTATCTACCATGCGTTTTAATGCGACGGAGCTCTCGGGGCAGTCACCTTCAGTGTTTGAGAAAATGACTATTCTTCCCTAAGTCACTGTCTCTCTCTCTCTCTCTCTCTCTCTCTCTCTCTCTATATATATATATATATATATATATATATATATATATATATTCAGCAGTGAACATTGCCGACTCCAACGTGTATCGTAAGAGCTACAAATGTCTGAAAGCCACTTAGCGAAGTACGGAGCAATAAACCGCCTGAGTTACCGGGAAATTGAAACCGAACTGTAAGTACCATTAGTAAAACAATTGGACAGTCGTAAAACAATAATAAACTTCGTTGTCACAAAATATTGAAAGGTAAATGTTTTAGGTTCGCTACATTGCAAATTGCTCACCTTAATGTAACGGTGATTTAACTGACCAGCAATGTGTTTATTATCCAAACAACAAGCTGATTGTCACTTAAACACAGACTCTCCCAAAATAACCCAATAAGGGCCATGCGGTAGCTTCAATACTCATAATTCTTTGAGCTGAAGCTCCTTTCCGGTCATGGACATTTCCATTCACCGGGACTTCTCTTTGTAGCATTGATAAGACAGTGTTCAATGTTAGCTATCAAGCCATTTGCTGAGCATGATCCTCTGAGTGGCGCAACCAAGAATTAAGTGGATAGCATGTCTGTCGAAGCGAATTCATAGGAACGTTTATTATGGTATCTTATTACCGACGTATTAGTTAGCGCTTATTTCGAGCTACTCTCGGTACAGTTTAGACACAAAGGCTGAAGGGATATTTTGCTGCTCCTTGTTATTATATCAAGCTGAGCGGTACTGGAGGCTGTGCGATTAGAGAAAAAATGTAGAACATTATAAGCGCATACTATCCGTACATAGTATTCAAGCTTGCAAATAGCCAGGCTTCATTTCGAGTTCTGAAGTAATCATGTCCATTTACAGCCGTTGGAATTGGCTAGGTATAAGATGTTGAATGTGCTTTGAAGCTTAAATGGAACAATGGTATAGTACGGGTACAAAATCAAGGCTTAATTAGTTTGGTGAGATGGAAATAATAAGGAAAAGAAAAAATCAGAATAAAAAAGCCTTTTGTTAGATTCACCAAAGACATGGGCAGAAGGGCTGAGGTGTTCGCATGATAAAAGTACAAACCTATAAATTCATGTTTTCCATACAAACAGGAAATCATAGATTGAGACTAAGGTACATCTCCGCCTTGAAACCAATAAATCAGCGGTTTTGCTGAAGCTTAAGAGACTCAGGAATTCCTCGAAATGCTTCGGGATGTGTAAGAGCAAACCGTGCAACGAGAGAAAAAGCGCAAGCTGTCAAACGCTGCAATGTTGTCATCAAGTCCATTCAATGGCAGTTATAAGAGGGATGGCTTAGGAGTAGGCATTCAAGCACGATTACTAGGGTTTGGTGGTGTCCTTGAAGTGATATATATTCCCAATGTTACTAAGTTATCACCATTCCGACATGTAAAATGAACCGCTATTCTCAATGGAGCTGAATAATGGAATTGGCTGGGTGGACTGATGCAAAATCTGCCCTAAATTATATTAAACAGGGATGGTCTGCCCGTTATTTTGCCACAACGACACACCAACAGTAAGATCGCGGTAGTGGGGGGAGTTAATTTATAAGGGAATACTCTACATGGAATTAGGCCCCCTTGAGGACGGTTCCACGGATGGACAAATTACTTTACTTGAACTTTTGGTTAAATCTGCAGTTGCTATTATTCTCGTTTTTCCACTTTCTAACACTTTCAACCTGTCAGTCACATTAACAATTCTTTGGGTATCCATTGTGTAATACACGAACGGTTATCTATTTTATACGATTTCGTTGTACGATTTGATCAGGCCACTCAGTTGAACTATGCGTCACACCGTCGGGCCATATACCGGTTTATTTTTTATAGTATAGTAATTTCTCAGTTCATTAGTCATAAATGAAGTTAGTAATCTCAAATAATGGTATGAGTCACGATGTAACTGTGAGGAATGCAAAATGTTGCTGCAAAGAATTAGTTAATGATGAACTTCAGATCATTCGTTGGTTTGTCTTATAAGCTGATCCCGACACCTGATGGGTGAACCCAGCTCACTTTGTCAGATGAACTTCGTCGTGAGCAGCGGTTACACGGGCATCACCGTGCTCAAATGCGCGCTGTTATATATTGAAGTTTGGTTAAATCATTTCGATCATCGTTGCCATAAGTGATGAGGATGTTTTCGTTGTCATAAACCTTCACGTATCGTCAGAATAAATAAGTAGATTTTACTGTGATGCCGAGGATCTATTGAGTGTCCGCCTTAAAATTTGCTCGTTAGTCTAATCGGCTCAGCAGATTGAGTAGCAGATAGCACGAACCAGATAATCCTTGGCTAATATATCTCACAAGGTGCATACAATCTTAGCCAGAGTCGAACTTATTAAAATCCTCACACCTCCCATCCTGGAGTATTGCAGCATAATCTGTGGCAGGGTGAGGAAGACTGAGAGTACAGCGATAGGAAGCCTTCAACGGTCATTTCCTATGTATCCATTAGGGAAAGACTTTACCTTGAACTATTGGGAGCGGCACCAGTAACTTCATCTCGATCCGTTTTGGCTGTGAAGACTAAAGCATTACTCGATTCTGTTGTGAAGTCTAATTCATGGCGGTGCTTATTGTAATCTACTCACCTTCGTAACAAAAAGTTTACCATGGTTTAACCACAATGTATGACAAATGTGCAGTCGAACAATATTCTTATCACCTATGCTGCTCACTGGAATCGGCTAACAATCAAAATCACGTCGTGTGAGAATGTGCAATCATTTGGTAATAAGTTGCAAAGCTGTCTCAACCTGGACACGATTATGTTCACTTGTTCGTGGAGTAGATCACCTGTCAAGCTATTTTATGAAGGCCCAGATAACGTCTAATGGGTGAAATAGCGAACATTCACGCAATGCTAATAGCATTCAGCTTATACTTTATACTTAACTAGTACGAGTGCCTTCCAGTTTCGTGGAAAACGGGAATGTGTGCGCAGCACATTTCCAGAAACGCAGACAGATAGAACATAGCCTCATATCGCTCATGTAAGAGTATGATATTACTTGTACATATTAATGATCTGTTCCAAATATGAACGCAGCTTTTCACTCGATGAGAAATATACTTAATATTATTATGCAGGAACAGTATTATAATTGAAACCACCTCTGTGGCTTCCTTACATGCCTACAATAGTCATTTGGAGTGGGCGTGCTTTGAGGTTGCCACTTATATCCGGAAAAGTATTGAAAAGTCGTTTAGTCCTTTCAAAGAGTGATGGTAGCTAGCATTTCTTCGGTTAGCTGAGGAAAATGAATCGTTGCATCGAACGTTCACCTTTCTCACATAGGACTCAGAGTTTAGGGTTCCAGAGAAAGAACGGCAATGACACTAGTGCGTGCACCACCAGCTTGATCCCGGAGACCAATTTGTAGGCTTGTGACAATTGATCGTTTAGTTCGTTGGAAGTCACACTCTCTTTATACACACTGATTTGAAGCACAACAATATAATCGTTTAAGCACAAGCGACGCCGTATCCCGTTTGAATCATCCAAGTCAGCACTGTTAATAATGTGAAGCTCTCCAAAAGATTGAAAGAGCGCATGTGGTTTTAGTATAATAGAAGCACGGAAGGTGGATGAGAGACGACATCGAGACAAAACCGGACCGCATTCAGCAGCTTAAAGAAAGTTGTGCGCAACACCAATCGCCAACGGAATACGTATTGGGTCTGAAGCATTTTCCCTTCAGTACATTTCAACATTGGCTTTTAGTTCACTGAATCTGTCAATTGTCCATTTGTTTTACCGATTGTAAATCGCCATCAATTGCTTTTGTCCGGCCAGTTGTGGGCTACTAATCCTCGCGCTCACTCGTTTTCCTCCGATTCCTTGTGGCCCTCCGCCGATTAGCAGTTGTTTACATATTGGAATGCATAAATGCGCGGGAAATACGATAAGGTTTTCACCAAATTAACTAAAAGCTGCCATGCTGCTCCGGCCTATTTTGTTTGTTTTTTAAGGAATCAACCACTACATACCACTCGCCGTCCGGATCAGTGCTCTCAGGATCAATAGATCAGTCAACTTCTGCCTTACAAACTGCATCCAAAAAGTATGTTGTGAATTCTCCTCTCCAGCAAATGAAGAATCTACCGCAAGAAACCGCCCATTTTATACGCAACGGTGATAATGGTGCCGGTACTGACCATCAAGATCGAAGAAACTTGCCGGCTGACAACAAAAGCATGAGAAATTGCACCAGCAAAGAGGAGGGAGACGAGCTGAGGCAGAACTGCTCTTCGCATTTAGCTTTTCATGAGGATAAACACGAAACTACACCCAAAACTGTTGGCCGTGATCAAGAGTCAGGAACTCTCGCTCATACACTAAAACAAACGGATGCACAAGAGAGTGGAGCTGTCGTAGCCGAATCGAAAGGCCGTTTAGTTCAGACAGCCTCGGTACATCATATCACAGCATCGCATAGAACCCATTCTATGGAGTGCAGAATAGTGAATAGAGGTAAACCACGCTCTAATATGGCGGTGCAAACTCCGGATCGCTTTCTGAGTGCTCCTCAAAGTCCATATGAGGCCGAAATTGGAGCACGCATGAGGTTCGATTTGGTGCGCAGTATGGAGCCTACTGGCAGCCAGAACAAATTTGCTGTTCGGCCGCCGACTCCCAAGAATACGTGGATTCATTATCAGGCTGAAAGTCATTCGTGTGAATCAAACAAAGCAGGAAAGTTTGGCGGATGTAATGAGATCACCGAAAATGGAATGGCGCGACACATTAATCCAAGGTAAGCTGAAAGTACCTGTTGTTGATGTAAAGGCGTTGATCACTTTTTGCGTTCTGTATCATCCCACTGTAGTAGTACACCAACCTTTACCAAAACTAACTCGGAAGAGATAAGGTTCACTATTTTTTCTCCAGGGTATCTGCCAACATGACCTTCATATTACTCCGACTAAACTAACCAAGCTATCAACAATCAAACTCAGTGGGCCTGAATATAAATAAGTAAGCACTTCCTAAGCACACCACTCCAGGCTCCTACAAGCTAGTTATGCCTATCTGGCTTAAACAGATGTGATATTAATGCTATTTACAGCGATACTTCAAATATACACTTGTTGGTTTTTCTACAGACCATGTAATCCAAATGAATATCAGCTAATAACCTTATTGGGTCTCGAGCACTCGCTACACGAGTAAGGTGCGATTGTTTCGAACCTAGGAACGAAAGCCGAATCTGTTAATTATTGGTGCTTTGCCTTCACTGTTGACCAGCGCGCATCCCTTGAAGGTGCGGGGGAGAAATGACGTGGTCTCATGTTTATGCGAACTCGTCTTATTAGCGTCCCCGTCGCGATGAGGCTGGACCTTACCGTGGTGCGATGGTTTGTGGGCCTCAGTGATCCATTGAGCTATGCTGAGTGGTGCTTTCGCAACTTCAGAGCCACTCATACGAATTAGTCAATGGTTAGAGGCCAGACAAACTCAGCTTCCTGGTCCTCCAGGTCGGAGGGTTGGAATGAGGGTGACACCTTATTCTTTAAAACGGACTGCTTGTAGCGCAACGCCAAAACCGCTGCCTTGCGGTCAGGTTTTGGAACCAAAGGCTTTGGTTGAGGACTCTAATCATTCTCCTGTCTAGGCCTGGGCAACCTGACAGTATCCCGCCCACGCATTACTATGAACCTTCCGTCAAACAAATTCCTGATGCTCTGGCCACGGCACAGGATAATCAATGGTGCCCTATCTGCTGCATCGAGCAGGTTGGATAGGGGTGTGGATGCTACTGCTCAAGCTTTCCCGTTTTCTTATTCCTCTTCTTACGCTTTTTATTCTTACCGTCCCGTTCCAACTTCAATTTTATCCCCCCCCCAGTTTTCAGCTCCCAATTCTTAGCCCTCCCACAACATGCTTTGATAGGCGTTTACCTTCTAGTTTCAACTCATATGCAAACGCAGAGTGTCACTCCTGCTCTGTCGACAAGTCCATGTCTAACCAAGCAATCCACTCCAGTTTATCGACTTACATTTAGAGCCCTCGATCCTCCTTCAGCTTGGCATGCCTCAATGTACGCACATTACTACAGATCGGTCAACAAGCAACTTCTACGCGAACATTAGAGACCCCCTCGATCGATATCTGTTGCTTATCGGAGACCCGCCTGCAAGACTCGAGTTCAGTGCTCACTCTGCGATCCCCTTCAGTTGTCGCCAGCAGTATTTTCTCCTTGCGCCCATCCGGTGACTAAGCAGCTTCGAGCTCCGGCCCAGCTGATTATGGCATTACCCTGAGTCCCCGGGTTGAAACAGCTCTGGTTGACTGGATTCCAATCAGTGGCCTGTTGTGTGCGGTCCGATAGGTTGGCTCGTTCAAAGCTTCGAACTCGCGCGGGACTAATAGGTGTCTATTTATCATCGCTGCATATTCACTCACAAACTCTAGCGATGATGCGGTAAGAGAAGACTTCTATCACCAACTGACCCAGCTCGTTCGTCACAGAAGAAGCACAAACACTCTTGTGTTGGCTGGGGATCTAAACGCACAAGTTGGAAATTTGTCCACCGATGAAATGCATCTGCGCAGTCAGCACGGTGTAGGCTCGCGTAATGATAACGGTTGACGGTTACTTCATTTGAGGTTGCTCGGCTATTTCCTGCGAGCACTAACTTGCGACACAGCGCCCGCCGCAGGGTGACTTGTCGCCCACCAGTCTCGAACCATCCTTGGACTCAAATCGATCACATTGCAATCAGTTACCGATGGAGACGCTGCGTCCAAAACGGTCGCTCGATTTGGAGCACATGTGTGGACACCGACCATGCGCTTGTACGAGCTGATTTGCAGATGCGTTTTGCCGGAGGCCCACGACGGCGTTGTGAGCGCATTGACACCAGCCAACTGGCGAAACCAGCTGTTCTGAATGCCTATCAAAGTACGCCGTCATGCGAGTTAAGTAAGCGCTCATTGCATGCAATTGAAGCTCACTGGTCACATATTCACTACAACTTACTAGCAGTAGGAAAATCCTCATGTGTTAAGTCTGATCGCCAACATGGACATTGGGTCTCTTCGCCGTCTCTGGAACTTATCGGTGCTCGCCGGCATATTCCGGCTAAAAGCGAACACAATGAAACAAGCTAAGTGATCCGTGCAAAACTCCGTGCTCACCTGAAGACAGACTGCGAATCTTGGTGGTCTCTTCGTGCGTCAGAGATGGAAGTGGCCGCTGCCCTTGTTAATCATCGTAAGTTATTCCGTCTGTTACGGGAAACGGATAGCAGGAGACCCGGTGTTAGTGAAACAATTTGTGACAAGAGTAGATAGTCTATCCACAATATGTCAAAACGTTTGGAGACTTGGGCTGAGCATTTTGAAAGGCAGTTTAATCGGTCTGACCTGCTCAGTGTTCTGTCCTTCTAGATTCACTTCCTCGCTCAGAAGTTAAACGTGTGATCTGACTGTTGAAGTTGAACAAAGCCGCGTGACCAGATGATTTTCATCCAGCCCCTTCAAATCCCGTGGCTCTGCTCTTGTTGATGATTTACACGTATTACTAGTGAAACTGTGGGAGCAGAGAACTGTCCCGACCGACTGGAGCCGCTCCGTCATAGTCCCAATTTCCAAGGGAGACTCATGATTGGAATGCGGCAACCGTAGAGGAATCAGTTTGATCTCCATCGCCTCAAAATTACTTGCCTCTGTACCCCTTCACAGACTGACTATCGCTCGTGAAAGCCAGATTAGTGAGTAGCAAGCCGGATTTCGTCGGGGACGTGGATGCATTGACCACATCTTCACCTTGCGTCAATTGTTGGATCGTCGTCACATGTATTGGCGGCCCAAATTTGTCGTGTTTCTCGACATCAAAGGTGCCTTCGATTCGGTTGATCGATGTGCCCTTTGGAACTGACTACTCAAGAAAAGTGTTCTTGAGAAATATGAAATATCATCCGAGCCTTATACACGCCTAGCTCAGGCAAACTGTCTTCACCCTCGTCGTCACCTCCAACGGTCTGAGACAAGGATGCCCGCTGTTACCTTTCCTCTTCAACTTCGCTATTGACGAAGTCATGGAGGTAGCGTTTACAGGACTCGACGCAGGAGGTGTGGAGCTACTCCCAGGAAAAAGACTTCTTGGCTTGGAGTATGTAGACGACATTTCCCTCATCTGTGACAACTTCGAGACGTGCCGATCTGCACTGGACAGATTAGCGCTGTCTGTCAGCCGCTTCGCGCTTTGATTTGCACCATCGAAGTGCAAAGTTTTCCTCCAAGATTGGCAGGGATCGCCTCCTGCGCTAACCCTTGGTGGAGATCACCTAAAAATCGTTCAGAAATTCAACTACGTGAGAAGTTGTATCAGCGTCCTTGGGATTGAAGATGAGATCACGAACCGAATATCAAAAGCTCGAAGTGCTTTTGCTAGTCTTCGCCACCTATGGCGGTGGCGCGACATCACTCTCACCCTGAAGGGTAGAGAGTATAATGCAGTGGTACGTTCCACCTTACTGTACGGTTGCGAAACCTGTCCTCTTAGATCAGCCGAAACAAAGAGGCTAGTTACATTCGACCATCGGTGCGTTCGCAGTTTGGCTCACATCTGGTGGGAACACCGCGTGAGCAACGCGCGTGTTCGTCGCCTTGTTTAGGGCACAGGAAATGGAACTGAACCGCTCAGCACCGTTATTTAGTGCACCAGGCTCCGATGACTAGGCCACCTGTTACGCATGCCGACTCTCGCAACGTGCGTTGTTTGCCTGCCGGGGTTGTGAATGGAAGAAGAGTTGAGGTGTCCAAGCGATGAATTGATCGAGAGGAATGAAGGCCATCACTTCGGAGTTGGCCTCGGTTGGAGCGTCTCGGCTCCCTAGTTAGAGTCCAAAAGACGATGAACACGTTAATCTGGATACACTTGCTGACATGGCTAAGTGCCGACTACGGTGGCGTTCCTGTTGTGAGTTTCTTTGTCTCTCCCCATCCCTTTTAGCCGCTCCTTCCAACCACGATCTCATTTCGTAGCGTAATATAATTTTGCATTGTAAATTTTTTGTTGCCTAGTAGCCGGCTGGTAGCTTACCGGAACAATGCCCATCCGTTGCTGGTAGCTCAGTTGGCATGCAATTGCTGTATTTCTATTCTTTTTCTTTTATGCATTGCAGCGCAATAGCTGTGTTTTACACCTCTGGCTGACGTGTATAATGATGATGGTGATGAGTATTAGCGTCCGCGTAGGACTTTAACTTGGTTACAATCACAAAATAGGTTTCTCAAGGGTATTTGTGTATGATATCCACTTTAACATACTTAGTACTAAATCATCTTTGACAAGGATCATTCGGAGAACAACACGTTACATAACGACATAATTGTTCTCAGAGGGAATGTAAGCGACGATCAAATTAAGCGGTTGGTTGCCATACTTATCGTCATCGTCATTATACATGTTAGGTGCAGGTGGAGGACACCTCAGCTATTGTGCTGCAGTAGAAAAAACATAAGTAAAAATATCGGTCGCACACCGGCAAATCCCCAATCACGGATGGACATAGTTCCGGAGTGCTACCGGCCGGCCATCGGGCCGCAAAAAGTTATGTTGTGCCTAAAGAATGAGAGGGTGATTAGAGGAGGAGGCTAAGCAGGAGGTGGAAGGATAAAGGAACTCCCAACACAAACGCCACTGGGGCCGGCTCCTAGCCATGTCAGCAAGTGTGTCCGGCCAAACGTATTCATCATCCTTAGGACCCCATCCATGTAGTCGGGATACCCCAACCGACGCCAACTTCG